AGGATACTGCGATGCAGATTGGGCAAGCTGCCCTTTGACCAGAAAATCAGTGACAGGATTGTACTTCCAACTTGGTTCTTCTCCTATTCTTTGGAGGAGCAAGAAACAACCCACAGTGTCTAGATCCTCGGCTGAAGCAGAATATAGGGCCATGGCCATGGCTACTAGTGAAATAGTCTGGTTGCGAAGACTATTGAGTGAATTATTAACACCATAGTCAGGAGCCACTAGTCTTTTCTGTGACAACAATGCAGCTTTACACATTGTGAGCAATCCCGTTTTCCTTGAGAGGACCAAACACATCAAAGTAGATTGCCATTTTGTACATGAGAAGCTGCTTTCTGGCGAAATTTTACTACGCTACCTTCCATCACATTTACAGTTAGCGGATTTGTTCACTAAAGGTCTTGGCAGGCGACAATTTCAATTTCTCCTTTGCAAGTTGGGCATTTCAAACCCTCATGCTCCAACTTGAGGGGGAGTAATAGGAAAGTGAATAATATCCCATGAATTAGGAAGGTGTATAATAGGAAATTACAATTAAGAAAGTGTATATCCCACGAATTAGGAAGGTGTATGATATCTTGATTAGATAAGAAGGTGCATAATATCTTGCTAAACTTTCCTTTTTCCTTTACTTTCTTTTTCTTTTACTTACTATTTTTCTGCCCACAACTTGTATATATAGTGTGGCCTTCTGCCCCTCTTATATATGTTTTTCAAGAGAAAGAATTTCTCCTTGTTCTTCTCCTTATGGTTTTATCAGTTGTTTCTTAGTTATTTTTCCTTTTCGTGGTTTTCTTAATCTCAATATTGTCGTCGTGAAGATCATTTCTGGTTCAAAAATATCAGTCTGCAGATAGAGTCCACAATTCAACTGAGCAGAGCAAGCCACGGAATATCTGCAGGAGTACTGGAACTCTGGCCTTGTAAGCCAATGTTGATAATTACCTAGGTTGGGCTCACGATGTTAGACTGATAATCTTCTTCAACAAATCATTCGATGGGAATTTACCCAGTCAAACCCATCAAGCAATGGTGTAACAGGTTCTAATCCAAGGGTTTGAACATCAGGAGTAGAAAAAAAAAGTACTGCAACGCCTACATACCCGTTGATTATGAAATGAAAATTGAAATCAAACCTGATTCAGGGCTGAATCATCAAAGATCAAATTAAATTCTTTGGCTGACGTTTTGATTAAAAGCTCAGTAGAGTACTATTAGTATCACAAACAACTGAACAAGTCCGGACTGCACAGACAAAAAGGTTGCCCATGTGCCGATGAGTTTCTCATACAACTGTCTCACTAAAGGTTTGTCACCATTGTATGAAACCTAACATGTGTCTACTGAATCTTCATAGCTACCCAGCACTGAGAATCAACTTATTAAAAGATTGGTTGATTGCGTGCTCGGTGCCACGCGGCAACTTAAATTGTCCCAGGTGGACATCAAGCTAGCTGGTGCAATAACTTGGCAAACAAATGCGTTAATACCATTATTTTGGGTTGATGTGATGGGTGGCAGGCAAGGACATAATGCCCTACGTGGGTCCTCAGCCGTCGGTGGGAATACACAGGTACATTCTAGTGCTGTTCAGTCAGAAGAATCCGGTGAAGGACTCAATCCAGCTCCAGCAACCAGCTACTCGCGTAAACTTTAATACTAGGGAATTTGCAAAGCAACACGACCTCGGCCTGCCGGTCGCAACTGTTTACTTCAACGCCCAGAAGGAGCTTGCGAATGAAAAGCCTTGAAGAGAGAGAGACTACGTAATATGGTGTGTTGCTTTGCTGTTGAGGTGGGGGCTTTATTTGAATCTCATGTAGAGTTGTTATGAGTATCTCTCGCTACTGCTAGCATGGAGTTTGTCCATTAAATAACAGTAATAACAAATAATATAGCTTTCCATGTTTTAATTTCATGGAAGGTTGCAATTTGGGTCGGGTTGAAGTTTGCTATAAACCCGGATGGCCGGATTAGCTTTTGGTTGGGTTAGGGTAGGGCAGTCTAGCCCAAAGCCCAACTTTGTGTATATATATCATTATATCATCAATTATATATATATCATCAATTTTAAGTTTGAAAGCAAAACCTTTTCATTAATCTTTTAAGTCTAAGACCCCGTTTGTTACAAATAATATTCCTGGATAAGTGCATATTCTTATACGCGCTCATCAGTGTTTAGTGAAAAGGGGTAGTATAGGTATTTTCAAAATGATGTGGCAGATTAAGATATGCCAAAAAGAAAATGAACAATTATTGAATAAGTGCTTAAAAATAAATTTAAAATCTTTGCTTCTTCAAAACGGGCTTTTCTTTTTTTTTTTTTTGTTGGGGTGGGGGGTTTGTAAAGTCTAGACACTCTTCAAAACCCATCGGATTCTGACTTTTAGGCTGCGTTTGGAAACAATGCAAATATGTAGAGTGTAAAACGGTTCATATAAATTGTAAAATTGGGTTAGTTTTGTATTGACAAATTTACTTTTCTTATTAAATAGACTTTTAGCTATAACGAATGCAAATATGAATTCTAATAAATTATAAGTTTTTTTTTTTATTAAAAGCTCATTTGAATGCAAATTTACTTCTTTTTTATTGATGTACTTTTATATCTTATTATTAATGTAAATATGCATTGGTCTGTCATTTGCTAATGCATAAATGTAATGTTGCCAAACAAAGGCAAAAGTGAACCAGAGTATAAATTTACCCTGAACCAGGATTTACACTCTATTTGCATTGTTTCCAAACACAGCCTTAGTATCTAAATCTTCATCAAATATGAAAATGCAAAACCCTCTTTAGCTCTACTCTCATATAAAATAGTATGAATAAACATAAAAAATTTCAATTATTTAATTAAAATATATAAATTATATCCAACATATAAAATTCAAATATTATTAGATTAATTTAATGTAGAAATCAAACTATTTTCCTTTTTGGGTGGTGGGTCAGTGGTTTGGATCAAATGATGTCATAATCAAGTAAAAATTAAGTGTGATAAATAAAAAATATTTATATAATGTAGATGAAATATATAATAAAAAACATATCTGAAAGCAAAGTTTTTTTTATCTCGATGGTGGTTCAGTGATCCAACTTTTCAAAGAAACTCATGATGTCATAATTGAATAATAAATATTAAAAAAAAAGATAGAATACAAAAAATAAAAAAAAGTACAGAATTTTGTTGAAAACATTTGGGAACATTTCTAATGTTATATATTCATCATATTAAATAAAAATTATTTTTATTTATGATAGAAATGGAATACAAAATTTAATAATAACAATAATAATAATATAATTTTTATTATAATTTAAATTTTCATATGCAATGCATGTGCATATTTACTAGAATAATTTAAGTTTATTTTTAATCGTATTGTTACTTTTGTTAATTTTCAATTTCTATCAACTTTGATAAATCTATAATTCAAATAATTAATATGAAAAAAAATTTCTCACATGCAACGCATGTACTTAATTACTAGCATTTTTAATATTCAAAAAGGGGGTGTTTGTAAACATGTATGATTTTGATTTCCAAAACAAAAACTATCACAATAGCAAATATATATTGATTGTGCTCAATGGCGGAGTTAGAAACTTTTTTTTGGGGGGGAGGGGATGGGGGGGGGCATGTTAAACAAAAAAAGGAGATAGAGAGAATAGGATTTGAGAAAAAATGGCCTGAAATGGATTGGGTCTATTTCATATCTTTTAAAGAAAAAATAAATGTTTTTTATTTTTTTGAGAGTTAGAGGAGCCTTAGAGTGTTTTTAACCAGTTCAAATTTTGTGGGGCCAAGGACTCACTTTATTATGTTTTTAACCCAGTGTCCACTAAGTAATCATATAAACAATGGTTTTAACAAAAAGTTTGTGTGTGCGGGGGAAGGGGGGTGGGCAAGGACCCTCCACCATTATACTTGGTTCCGTCCCTAACTGTGCTGATGTGACAATTGGTGTATTTTGAAAAACAAAACTAATTAGGCTACTGAACACTCCCTAAATTGTGTTGATTCAATGGAATATTATATTACTCCTTTTTCGTAAAGCTGAGGATTTTAATAGGAAAGTAAGGCCTTGTTGGCTTTTCAGGAAGTTATTTATCTAGGTAATTGTTTCTTAGGAAAATATTCTTTTTTTTTTGATATATAAACAATGATGGTTTTAAACATAAAAAGCTATTATTAAAAAGGGCAATTTTATGCCATCTAAGTATTGGCAACTTTGGTCCAAGTGGAAAATTTATTTATCCACCTGGGACGTTAGATGGGTCTCATTTACCCACTTACCTAGGGAAAATAAATTTTATGTAAACCCTACATAAATCTGAAAAAAGAGCACAGGTATTTTGATCAATGGGAACCAAAATCTTATTGGCTCAAAATCCAAAAAAAAAAGAAAAGAAATGAACAAACACTAAGTGTTTTTTATTTGACAGGATACATGGATCAGCAAACCTAGGGTGGCAAACGAGTTGGAGCTAATCCGATTCCTATTTGAATTCAAATTTGATCTAACCCCTTATATGTTGTGTCTGTATGATAACTTTTATGCCCTTAAATTGTTGTTTTATTTATTTATAGATAGTAATTTTTACTTTTACATATGCCTAAATGGATAAACTCATCTCATATTGATTGAAATCCAAAGAGTTTGCCATTTCGATTTTCCATTGTTTTGTTTTACATGTATTTGTACTGTACATATTTGTATTTGTACTCTTTCCAAACTTAGTTGTAGGTATAAATTTTGAAGTCTAATAAAAATCTTCGATAGAAAGTATTTTAAAATTTTCTCTTTTATCTGATATTTGAATCAGACAATGTTGCTTTGAAATTTAAATGGTGAATTTTGAAAATGAATAATTCACCATTTTACTCCATATTTTAATACGAGTATGGATATTTATGTTAATGACAATTAATATTAATAAAATATTATTAAATGCATGTTTACATAAACATTATTAAGAACAAAACATTAATAAAATAATATAGAATATTAAAATATTCTAAAAAATATTAATAAAAATATCTTATTAGTAATAATTTTATCTTCATTATTTTATTACTTTGTTAATGTTATTATTTTATTAATACTTTATTCAAAAAATATCAGTAATATATAATGAGAGTGTTTTCTAATAATAAAATATGAATAAAATGCACCAAGAACATTTTGGGGTTAGAAAATAAGAATGTTGTCAAGTCTAATGTCTGAAATAAAGTGATAAGAGACCTTAAAAGAACAATTTGAAGTCTAAAAAAATTAATTTTTAGAGTATTAAACAAACTAAAAGAGCAAGGCCTCACTCAAGACATGGGCGAATGTAAGAAGTACATGACTCATGAGTTCTGTTTTCTATTTTCTATTTAGATCTTCATTAATTAATTAAGTTCATGATCTCTCTCTCTCCTTCATTCATGGATTTGGATTTGGTTTTGATTTGGATATATGATAATAATATCAAATCGAATTCAAATCTCAATCTTAAATATCCATAATATTCTCATAAAATTCAAATCTATTGCATTTCTTATCGAATTGAATTCAAATATACCCTTTTCTATATTCGATATCATACATTAAGTCGACCAAATAAATTGCTAAAAGTATTCAAAATTTAAAAGAGAATTAGGGTTATGCTAGACTGTCCAAAGAAGATAATTATTTGGGCTTGAAGCTGAAACTTGCCCCAGGAGTGGAAGCAGTTCCTCTTGTAAGCGGCAACCCTATAGTCTATGGACCACCCTACCCTAGCCTCAGGCTGGGTATAGACTACAGCCCAAGGGCTACGATAAGTTTTGATCACCAATATCAAATATTCATTTGATATAGTGGTATTGAATCTTGATCATTGGATCATGGATCTAGTTTTTATTTTTTTTCTCCAGCAATTTTAGATCGAATTTCCACGTGGTGACCTCTTTGTCTATTTTATTGTGCCCCCGGGGATGAAAAGTGAAAACGATAAATTAGAGAGTCAAAAACACCAAATTATTTTTGTTCCTGTAAAATTTTAGATACGCTTCCCCTTCTCATCCCAAGTCAAAAACAAAGAGACAAGGGTGGGCCCGCCCTGTCCGCCACTCAGATTACACAAAACGGTATATGATGAAAGAACATCCGCCGTACAGACTGCGGGCGACATGCGGCCCCCACTGCTTCCCATTTTAATTTTCACATCGAAAGTGGGTGTTCCCACCTAATCATCAGTGTGGGCCCCCTCTGCCCTTTTTGTCTTCTCCAAGAAGTTGCACTCCATCAGATTCAGAATTCAAACACGATTAATCCAGTCAGGTCTTCACCCAGGGTATCAGATGGGCCACTCTCTCCCAGTTGATCAGGAACGTTAGTTCACAAGTGGGTCCCATGACTACTACACTTCAAAGTTCAAACACACAAACCAAAATCCCCGTCCCTATTTAAGTATTTAACTACCATTATTATCGTATTAAGTAAGCTATTGTTTTCCAAACCTGGTCGCTCGAAGAGTCCGTCATCGCGCATCAGAAAACACTAACAGCAATTCCGGTAGGTTGTTGGATCCTGACCGTCCAGTATTCTTAATTATTTGAATGTCAAACTCAAATGATGGGTCAAGGACGATTAGGAAAACAACAAGCATGCGTGAGATGACAAAATCAAGATGTCGACAACCCTAAAGACAGGTGGGAAAGCATGCGCCGTACAAATGATATGGTCTTATCACTCTACAGTTTTATATTGCAATAATTTTTGGCCGTACATCTTGCCCGGCCCCACCAAACAAAATGATCGCGTGGCAGAACTGTCTCGACCCTCTCCCTTCAAATGCAAATCTTTCTCGGAGCATTTCACGACCTGACCCTGATGTGATAGTCCCATCTCGCAACGTCCGGTATCTTACAAGTTACAAAGTAAGGAAGAATAACCGACACCGATCCATTCCATCCATCGTCTCCTGCTGCTTACTGCTTCCGAAATTTCGGCCATTTCGGCTCCGAAACACAAACATTTCCGATATTTTTCATATTTCAAGAATGTGGAATTGTGGATGCATATGAAAACGATTTTGCATGCGATGGTAGGTCCCACCATGCACACGAGTTCTATAGTCTGAAATTGGAAGGGTACCGGACTGCCATCCGCCTAGATTCAACTCTCGACAAGGACTATAAGATCAATTTAACGGCTCTAGTTTATCCTTAATCGTGCTTAGCTATAAACAATTTGATAATGTCGTGTCCAGGAGTCATCCAGTTGAAATGATTTTCACGTTGGAGGGGGCCCATGGGCCATGGGCCCAGTGTCTCATCAATGATAAGAGTTGATTGTGTTTCATTCTTGCAAAAGGGACTTCATAGATGACAATTGAGATTATAATAATGTATGATAATACGGACACACACCTCTTTTTCCATTCTTCCTTTCAGACTCGAGCTCTGTACAGGAGCCCACATGGGGATGCTTGTGGATGGGCTGCTGATCAGGAATTCACAGCAACTATGGACCACAGATCGGACGACCAGGATTTGATTACAGTAGCAAAAGGTTGAAGGGGTCAAATTAGATGAGTTATTAATGAGGAGAGGCCGGTTATGAGCTTGGAATCCTCAAATTTCTTTATTTCGTTGTTCAAGGTTTTAATGGGCATGTAGGGGTAGATAAGAATGTATTCAAGGCAGTAGAGAGGATTTCGGAAGATACAGCGTTGTCGTTATTTGATAATTAATGAAGAGAGATTTCTATCCCCTTTTTAAAGCCCCATGACCCAAGTCCCAACATCATCTAACGGTCATGGGCTAATCAAATCGAACGTGGGCCTATTGAATTGACGGCTACGATTGAGCGGAAGGGTTTTTTTGTATAAGATCTGACATACCTATGACTCTATCCTCCTGGTTTTGTTCTTTTCATGGAAGTAGGGATTACAATTTGACTAATATAACCATTAAAAGTACACTGACTAAAGCATTTATAAAGGTTAGTTTGGAGCCTACACTGGTCATCAAGTTTTAATGGATTTGTTCAATCCTGACCGTTAACTTGAAGTGATCTGATCAACTGCGAGAGCTGTTTGGTGGATACGAGGTGGCGAGGGTGGGGAGCATGGAAGATCATGGAGGTGCGTCGTGTGTCGTGTCGTATATTTGGGGTCTATTAAATGAGAGATTGGAAGAGACTCTTGAGCCCAGTCCAGGCTCCCAATCATTTCGCCAGCCGACCTGCAAACAGACAAGCCGACTCAACATCGCCTAAACGGGAAACCTGCCGGCTATTCTCCTACAGTAAAGCAATCCTATATGACACGTGTCAAGCATCTGACCGTCAGACGTTTTGACGTGACGACTCTAGTCAAAACCCTAGGAGACGGGGTTCCTCTTTTGCCCCAATCAATTTTTCTCGGTCCTCTTTCCTTGTAATATTTAATTCTCTTTTTCCACCCTTTTTCTCCCATTTCAACCCTTCGGCCTCCAATACTCTCTTCTCAATTCTCTCGGTCTCTCCATTTCTATTGTCTTCTCTCCTTTCTCTTCTGCAACTCTAATGGCGGACTTGCCAACTTGCTTGGAGTTAACGATATCAGTTCCTGGTTTATCTTCTTCCCCATCTCCTCCTCTGTCTGGTAAGCAAGAAATTGTCGTTTGTTGCTTCTTTCTGCTTTTACTTCCGACCGCTATTCTCCTTTCATTTTGTACCGGCCGCTGTCTTCTCGATTTGAGCCATAGATGTGCTTTGACCGCTTTCTTTTCTTTTCTGGTTTGTGTTGCAATTTCGTGGCTTTTGTGTTACATGTTCGTGAGCTTTTCTTTTTCTTTGATAATTTGAGATGCGAACACTTCTGTTCTTTTATCCTTCTTTTCAACTCCACCTTTCCTGCTTTCAACTTTCTGTTTGTGCGTTTTGGATGTGGTTTATGCCTGGGTTTCTTGCATATTTGGTGTCGCTTGGTTCTTTTTTTCTGTTTCCCTTTTGCTCATCTCATCTGAAAGTACGTTCTGTCTCCCCTTTCTTCCTTTCTTCTCTTCTTGGTCTTTCGTCTGATACTCGTTTATTTTCAGAGTTTCTGCCAACACGTGAGACTCTCTTTTCCTTTTTATCGTTTTTGGGGCTTACTGTGTAATTTCTTCGGCCTTTTTCTTTTTCTTTCTGATCTACAATTTCTTGGTCTACTTTGCGAAAGAATAAAACAGAAAAAAATACATATATAATCATCATCATCATCTTCTTCTTCGTCTGGTTCGATGATACAGAGAGCGGTAACGCGATGAGAGACTTGGACATAAATCAAATCCCGTCAGGCATAGAAGAAGTGGGAAGCGCAGAAGACGAAGAAGAGAGCGGTTGCGGTGGTGGCGGAGGCCCTCCCCGTAAGAAGCTCCGCCTCACGAAAGAACAGTCTCGTCTCCTCGAAGAGAGCTTCAGACAGAACCACACCTTGAATCCTGTAACTGTCCCATGAACTAACCTTCTCCGAGCATCTCATGCAGATAGATTTTCTCATCTCTTCAGTTTCATCTTCTCTTTCTCCCTATCTTAATAGATTCTAATTCTATCTACTTTGTTCGGTTATTCTTTTTTTTTTTTTCTGGCAGAAACAAAAGGAAGCGTTGGCTTCTCAACTGAAGCTAAGACCACGCCAAGTTGAAGTCTGGTTTCAAAACCGTAGGGCCAGGTGCATACTACGTACCCCTTCCGTTGAATTTCTGCTATTCTGCATGACCATTTTACCCCTTATGATTTGTTTAATTAATAGCATATCCGTTTCTACCACCAATAGAAATTATAATCGAATCAGATTCTATTCCGTATAAAACGTACTTCCCTATATATCTTCTAGATCAAGGCTACAACGTAGGTAAAAGACATCCATGTAGCTCACATGCAAACCTACGTACCATCTTGCATGGTCCACCAAACACAGCTGACCAATCCAACGGTGGGACTGAACGTGACGTGAACCCAACCCACTTTATCTAGCCAAACTGAGAATCGAATTGTGTATAGAGGGAACAGGGAAGAACAGAAAGGCTACAGAGTAGAGAGGGATATAATGGTCATTTTCTAGTAAACTCTAATTTGTTTTATGAAATAATAGGACGAAGCTGAAGCAGACGGAGATGGAATGCGAGTATCTGAAGAGGTGGTTCGGGTCACTGACGGAGGAGAACAGGAGGCTACAGAGGGAGGTGGAAGAGCTGAGGGCGATGAGGGTAGGACCACCGACGGTGATGTCTCCACACAGCTGCGAGCCCCTCCCGGCATCGACATTGACCATGTGCCCCAGATGCGAGCGCGTGACGAGCAGCGCCCTCGACAAGGGTCCCACCACCAACACAGCGAACTCCGGATCCACCACAACCGCCCTGGGCTTCCCCAAGGCACCACCGATGCTCCACCACCCTCGACAACCGTCGGCGGCCTGTTAGTTGGTCAAGCACTCGTGGTTGTTTGGTGGGTTCACATGTATGGCCAAAAATCGAAGATGAAAAGAATCAAAAAGATTAGGAAGGATATCTCTCATGTCAGAGAGGAAACCAGTGATTAGATTACTTTTAAGTTTGACTTTCTTTCTCCATATTTGAAGAACAAATGAGAAGTCACCGTGTGTATATTCCCGTAGAAACTACAGACCAGTGTTTCTTATTTCTTTCTCTCTGTCTCTCTCTCTTCGTAACCATAGAATCGGTTCGGTTGTGGGTGGATCCATGGATTCATAAGGATTGGATTTGGATTTCAATTAAATAGGAGGGTAAGTAACGGGTACTGAGGGATTAATGGAAGATATTGAATGTGGGACCCGACATGAGATTAATGTTAGGATTGGGCCCACCTGACTTTGAAGGGAAGACTAATGTAATGGGGGAGAGAATGAGGGTGGAGTCCATGCCGCGTGGTGCGTAATGAATGAGAGCATGATGACAACGATGGTGGTGGTGGTGGGTGATGGGTCGTATCTGAGTCGGGTTCATGTGTTCCCCGGGGAGATGATTCCCTCATTCATTGACAAATAACAGCAGAGTGACGAACGCAGCAGCGCACCATCCCTCAACTCAATTCTCATGAAATGGTTGCAGTTGCAGGCGCAGATTTTTCTGAACAAGGACGGTTTTGGCTTCTTTCATTAAATTTCTGTTTCAAAGTTTACGACGCTAACACATGTACCCTAGATGACGTAGAGACTAGAGAGAGACCAGAGACCTTGGTTTCATCATAACACGTGAGTCTCAGGCGGTGAGATAGAAAAAGTTGAGGGGAAATTGAGGGGAAGTTGTGAAGAAATTTCACAAATTTTGGGCCGGGTTGAGTTAGCTTGGGATTCAACCTCTCATTCTGTGTTACTAGTTGTATTTTTCATTCTGTCCATTTTTACCCATGTTTCACAATTTTGGACGATGAAATTAGAATAGGAGAATGTTCGAGTCTTCAAACATTTATTTCATTTCTTTTTCTCATTAAGTCAGTAGCATTTATTTTATTTCTCTCGTTACTTTGTTAACTATTTCCATCAAACTCTACTACAATTATTGAAAAAATATTTTAATAAATCATCCTCAAGGATATTAAGTACAGCTGTACAAGTGTTGATATTACTTCTTATATATATATATATATATATATATATATATGGAAGTTCATACATAAATTACAAATTAAAATAATTGTATTAGTGATAATAATAATACTTAATGAAATTTAAATTACATTTAATTCCATTTAAAGATGATAAAAATTAGTGTACAATGATACAAATTTATCTAACAATACACCTCCCAAAAAATAATGCTTGAGATGGACTCAGTCTAACTTGGCTTAATTTGAAATATCTTAAGCTTCTTATGCCTCAATTTTACTTAACAAAGCCAGTGCATTGCTTGGGTCCTGACCAATATCTGAAGATAAAGAAAACTAATTGTAGATTTAACCCAATGATGGTTTAGAAGGTTTTCCAATTTAAACAAAGTGGTTAAGAAACCATCCATTGTTCTCATTGGCAAATCCTTTATATGATGGATTATATTGCAATTTTGAAACTATAATTGAGTTCAATTTAGTTCTTGAGGGTTTGCAAGGGATTATATCCTACTGATTATCTTTTTGTTGTATTTTGAGTTTAATAAAGGCAAATTTGGGCTTCAATCTCTGGTACTCTTAACTTGAATTTTTTTATCTATCTTTTTGAAGGGCTACACAATGGGGTAGGCGGGATTCAATTCAAGTCTTCGCTACGACCAAAAGGAGACCTTACCAACCAGTTGGTAACCTTCAGGATTTGTGTTGACTTGCAAAAACAGTAGTTAACTTGCAAAAATAGTAGTTAACTTGAATTTTAATCCAAGTGGACCACAATCTTAGGTTGTGTTGAGATAACCTTCAGGATTTGTGTTCTTAAATCCCAAAAGCACAATGCCCCAATTTTAGGACTTTCTATGTATATATATGTAAAATAATAATTTTTATCAGATTTGGATTTTAATAAGATCGAATGGGGTTAAATTTATATCCAATCCGATTATTAAATGGATGCAAGTTCTAACATCCAAATCCAAGATAATTGGATTCAAATTTGAATATGATATTGAACTTTTGGAGTCCATTGACAACCCTATGTCTACTAATCTTTTCATTGGTTCACATTAAAGATATTAAGAACATCAAATTTCACTAAAAAACCCTTAGATCTACCAAAGACTAGAGCAAAAATGCTTCCATTTGTTTGAATATGGTTCTGCCGTTCCACTTGTTTGCAGTCCAAATTCATTTGTACTAAAGCACAAATGAGATAAATTGGTGGTTCATTTGTTTTTTCACTTGGGCTGTGTTTGGAAGTGATGTAAGTGTTAATGCAAATATGTAAAGTGTAAAACGGTCTATATAAATTGCAAAGTTGATGCATTTTTTTTTTATCAAAAGCTCACTTGAATGTAAATTTACTTCTTTTTTATTGATGTACTTTTACATCTTATTATCAATGTAAATATGCATTGGAAAATATGTTTTCTATCATTTATCAATACATAAATGTAATGTTGCCAAACACAGGCAAAAAGTAAATTTAGAATGCAAATTTACACTGAACTAGAATTTACACTCCATTTGCATCATTTCCAAATGCAACCTTAAGGTTTTTATACAATTTGTTTCTTCAAGTTTTACTTTGCCTTGGGATTTTCTTTACACCAGTGTAAAATAGTGTAAACTAGCCTATGTGCTCTCAACTCATTTTTCAGTACTCCTATACTTTTGCACCAGTGTAAACTAGCCTATGTGCAAAAGTGACGACACAAGTCCACTGCATCTACTTACAAATTTGACCGACCAAGGAAGAAGTATCGCCTCGGCCGCCATCACCAGAGCTTCGTCCCCTTGCCGAGGATCCTCTTTGGCAAGAGCAAATTAAGAGTCTTAATAGATGCTCTAACTGCAGTCAAACTTGTTATCCTCATCGGCAATGGCGGCCGCTAGACAACTATCATCCTTACCACCAGCAGCAGCCCATCTCTAACTATTTTGGAGCTTCATCAGACTACATAGAACAGCTAGCTCAAGATGCTTGGAATTGGATTGAAGGAAGACACCAAGCGATGTGATACTGTAGAACAAGTTTGAATGTCATCAAATGTATTCTGCAACATTGTGATTGATGCTGCTTGATGATTTCAATCTCAGCTGTTCTGACTTATTCTGAGCATGATCTGTAAACCTTGTTGCATGTAGAGCCCTGAAATTAAACATTTTAGGAATTGAGATTGAAGATTTTCACCAAATTTGGATGTCACTCACGCTGCATTAATCTGTCTAGGTGGGCAGCCAAGGTTTTCTCCACTCTGGAGGTCACATGCTTCATGCTTGAACCAACCCAACTAAAGGGACAAACTGGGGAGAAACAACAGCTTGGAGACACCAAATGACAGCTTATTAAGGAAACAAAGGAATTAAAAGAAATACTGTAGTGACTACATGGGGAATTGCAAAAGATATGGGCTGGGTTGAGTGAGAGAGAGAGAGAAACAGAAACAGGGAATTTAACACCAAAACAAACAGGAAAAGGGTCACTTATTGCAAACAACAGAGCCCATTTGAGTATGGAAGAGGAGATCAATAGAGCCCATTACGGCTCTATCTCAGGCCTTGAGTATAAGGCTGTTTCCTACAGGGACAAGGCTTGGACCTAACAACAGGTCTATATCACTAAAATATAGTTCAGTCCACCCCTAGGATGGAGCTAAGATTTCTAGGGGTGGACTGAATCCTGCCAGTGGATTGATGCCAAATTTACGGGCAGGATGTGGTTTATAGGGGGGGCTACTAGTAGACTAGGAGGGGGCTGCAATTTCAGATTTTTGAGGTTGATTGTAGTCTACTTATCCCAAATATATATTGGCAATTTGGAGATCACATCAGCGCCCTACATGAACATCTCCTATACGAAATCTTCACTTCCCTATGCCCCACATGCACATCCGGGAACATCTCCTGTACTTATCATGGGAAGATATTTTCAATACACGGGTGGAAGGTAGGGGTGGATTCGAGCCGAGCCGAGCTGAATACTATGAGGCTCGAGCTCAGCTTGAGACTGTTATACAAAGCTCAAGTTCGAACTTGAGCTTAGTTCGAGCCAGAACCTTGAGCTCGAGATCGGGTCGAGTAAAAAATTCATAAGTTTGAGCTCGATTTTGAGAAAAAATATTTTATAAAAATAAAAAATTATATATAAAAATATTTTATTTGATATTTAAAAAATTAAGAATTATAATATTTTTATTATATATATATATATATTCAAGCCGGCTCGTAACCCTCACGAGCCAAGCTCTAGTAGGCTCGAGCTCGATTGAAACTGAACCGAACCAAGCTTTTCACGAAATTGAACAGCTCGCGAAAAGCTCAACTAGTTGCCACCCTTAGTGAAAGTACTGTTAGACACCAACATGATCTTCTCCCGTACTTGTCATTGGAAAATGTCTCGAATACAAGGTTAAGATAGGGCATTATGGGGTGCATCTTGTAAGGAGCCAATGTGAACTCAGCAATATGAACCAGGCCGAGCCAACAAATTGCTCAATTTGCGCATCTACTTCTTGTGGATAACAAAATTCCGGCCTTCCACCATCATCTGGGTGGTCGGCAGGAAATACGAGACTACACATATAAATGTAATGGAACACCTTCCACAGAATGAATGAAAGTGCAGGACAAGTTCAGCAGAAAAACTGCAGTAGATCTGGAGTCGGTTTGTTTGGATCACGACGCCTTTGCCTTTCTCCTCAGCCCTAATAGTCCCATTCTCTCTTCACGATGGACAGGGTCACGGGGAGACATTCACTGTCCCAGAAACATTTATGTTTTCTATGATATTTTTTTGTTTTTTTATTTCTTTTTCCATTTCTTAACTAGAAATTCAAATGACATAAAACTTAATGGTATGTGTGGGCTGGCTCACAAATCACAATTGGTCCTCTCCCATTAGGTCCATTTTCAAGTTAAACCAACTACCGGAAAATTAGGAATGTGATTTGTTTTTTCTTATTTGCTGGTAAACCGGTGGCAATTGGTAAATACTAACAATTAACTTGGTGGGACCCACGGTCTGTCCAGAGTCCAGAGTCCAGACCACATCTTTTGACTTTTGAGGCCAGTTTGGGTTCAT